TTGGAGCTGATGCCCTGAATTTGGACTTGCAGCCTACTGGACTGTGAGAGAATAAACTTCTCTTTGTTAAAGCCATCCACTTGTGGTATTTCTGTATAGCAGCACTAGATAACTAAAACACCCTTTGATTACAAAACAAGGGTTATTGTCACAATTATCCCAAAATCTTTTTTTTCTGTTTTTTATTAATAAGTACATGTCTTAGGTCTCTTAAAACTCACATGATCTGTAAGAATTTTTTGAAGATTTCTTTTTCGTTTGTAGTTTCATGTAACTAAAGAAGAGAAAATGCCTTAACCATACAAAGGAATGTGTTTTACTCCTCCTCACTGTCTTCCTCTTCTCCCTTCTCCAACCCCTCTGCTTTTTTCACTACCTTTAGCTTCCCTTCCTCCTTTATCTTTATTTAACCTTGGAATAATTTCATTTGTCTTAATAAGCATGCATCCATCCATTCATAAAGAAGTCCTTTCATCTATTTGTAGATGTGAAATTTCTACAAGATCTATTTTTTAACTTGTACATATATAGTGAAAGTAATATCTATATGTTTATTTCAACTCTTGGCTGTTTCTTCCTATAGTTATATTTCTAAAAATAACATGTTTATACCACATTTTCCTTAAAGAATGTATCTCCATTTTCCAGATAGGCCAGTTGATACCAGGCCTTGACATTCAGCTTGAAGATGTGTCTTAGTTTCTTAGAGCTAGCATAACAAAATATCACAAAGTAGGCAACTTGAAAGAACAGAAATTTAATATCTCACTGTTCTGGAGGCTAGAAGTCCAAATCAGGATATCAAGATGTTGATTCCTTAGAGGGCTGTGTGAGAGGAAACGTTCCATGCCTTTCTGCTGGCCTCTGGTGGCTCCTGACAATCCTTGGCTTGTAGATGTATCTTCATGAGTTATCTCTTCTGCTTTGTCTGTATCTCCGTGTTTGCTCTCCTTTTTTATAAGGGCAGGAGTCATGTGAGATTAGGACCTACCCTACTCTAGTATGACCTTATGTTAACCTTCAAAAACCCTATTTCAAAACAAGGTCAAATTCATAGGAACAGAGTTTAGGACTTCAGCACATTTTTTTGAGGGACACTATTCAATCCATGTGCTCTTTGGAGGTGAAGATAGTGAGACTTCGTCTCACATACTTTGGATACGTTGTCAGGAGGGACCAGTCACTGGAGAAGGATATCATCCTTGGTAAAGTAGAAGGTCAGCAAAAAAGAGAAAGACCCTCCATGAGATGGATTGATATAGTGGCAGCAACAATGGGCTCAAACATAAGAATGATTGTGAGGATGGTGCAGGAATGGACAATGTTTCGTTCTGTTGTACACAGGGTTGCTATGGGTCAGAACCAACTTGACTGCATCTAACAATAACAACAAACATTCAATCCATACCTAGGGTTTTATATATATTTTCAACTAACCTCCCAGTTTTCAGCCATCCAGCAATGCCCTGTGCACCTCAATTTTGAACTCTCTGGGGTTCTGCCACACTCATTAATTCTCTTCTCATAGCAAATCCCTCTTTCCTGTCATTTAGACTGTGGCTTCCTCTAAATCATTTCATATAACTCCATTTATCTTCTGTGTTCTCAAAACATGGACAAGGAAATTTATTCTTCTTTTTCATTTTAAACTTCTTACCATTATTTAAGTTTCCAGAGAGAGAAAAAGGGTCACAAGCAGTTAGCCAACCATCTCTAACCAGAGGCAGCTCTACACCAAGTGATTACCAAAAGCAAAGTTAATGTTAGGTGCCAGACAAAGCTGGATTGAAATCCCTATTCTATTATTAATTGTTATCTCTGATAAAACATTCCATCAGTATAGGCCTTAATAGCTTCATCCATAAAATGAACTTAAAACATGTATTTTATAAGAATATGAGAATTTGAGAACATATAATGAATTTAATAAATTCTAGATATTATTATAATAACTGCTGTTATTTGCAAATAACATTAAAACTTACCTTCATAAGATTAGAATTCCTTTTTTTTGAAAAAAATTTTAAAATTCTGGCAAAAATGTATATAACCCAGCATTTGCCAGTTTGTTTTTTACATGTACAATTCAGTGACATTGATTATGTTAATCATATTGCTAGGATTCCTTTTTAAATGATATTTATTCAGGAATACGTTTTAATTAGTAACATAGTACATGAAGAAACTTTGACTAAAAGTATTAATGATTTCAGATATTAACGTCTTTACTGATACTTTAAACCAAAAGACCAACTATCTTGCTGAATTTTTATCATTAAAAAATTCTTCAGTATCATACTCTGCAGACTCTGCTAATACACTGTGCTAGTGTATTGGCATGCAACTTTGTAATTTGAGTTATTGTACTATATGCAGACTTATTAGCCAAGAAATTTTCAAAGGAAACACTTTCAACTTACCAGTATCACAGATAGTTTTTATGTCACATTAGTTAAAATAATATTTAATGAAATAAAATTTCAGAATTTTGTAAACTCAAACTATAAATGTAAATCTGAGAATATCATACATGTAATTTATTTTGTTTTATAGGTATTTCTTTGAAACTAAGTGATTCACAAGAATTGAAAAATAATATAATCAGTGCTTTTCGATTTATATTTTCTAAGTTACAACTATTCTTTAGTCTTAATGATAATGAAAAGTGGTATTAAAAATGTATTCCTACAGTATGCTTTTTGAGAATTGGGTAAGTAGAAAAATAATTTCATCTAAAATATGAAATTGAAAAGAATGTTAAAAGGTGATTGATTTGTACATATGTATGTTCTCTTAAAATTTCTGTGTTTAAGGACTAGATATCACAGTTTAATTTTGCCTTATTTGAGTGAAAATAACTATCATTTTCATTCCCACTAATAATTCCTAATTTAAACGTATGCAGTTTGAAATGCAATATATGGTAATTAATGTTTATGCTTTCTAGGTATCGCTTACTTGAGTGGAATGTGTAGTGAAAAAAGAAAATGTATCATTGCTGAAGACAATGGCCTGAATCTTGCATTTACGATTGCTCATGAAATGGGTCACAAGTAAGTAAATTGTGGCTATGCTAGTATATTAACATGCAACTTTGTAATTTGAGTTATGGTACTCTATGCATATCTTTTTTATATTTTGGGGGAGGGACTTAGAGTTTTTGAAAAACTGTGGAAACAGGAAGAGGAGAACACCTAAATATGAAGTGTTTTTTGAATGTGATAACCATTCCTGATACTCTTAATAAAATCTCATTACATTGTTAAAATTCTCATCAGGACAATCATTACGTGGCATGATTTTTTAATTTTATTAGGTATTTCCAAGTAATATAAATATTGCAGTAGTCATGAGACTACAAAGCCGTGTATTTTTTTCAAGGAAACCTTTAAAGAAAATACTTGTACAAGTGAAAATACTTACAGCCTATAATAGTACCTGTTTGTTATTACCAGGCACAGAGTAAAGGGATTAAGCTGCACAGTTTAGGAGTAAATGTGCTTGACAGAGAACTAAGCTGGATGTGTAATTGCATGTAATGAGCTATGTATCAGACACAGTTCTAAGCATTTTACATGAAATAGTTTAATACAAAAAGCATGGAGAGGTAGTTACTTTTATTCTCACTTTAGAGACACTGTAAATAGTAGCAATAATAATTACCAATAACAATACTTACAAACACTTACTATGGGCCAGGCTCGGAACTATGTGCTTTATACATTCTCACAACAATCTTGTGAGGTGGAGCTATTGTTGTTGTTACTGTGTGCCGTCAAGTCGATTCTGCTCATAGCAATCCTGTATGACTGAGTAGAACTACCCCGTAGGGTTTCCTAGGCTGTAATCTTTGGAGTGGAGCCCTGTTGGCACAGTGATTAAGAGTTCGGCTGCTAGCCAAAAGGTCGGCAGTTCGAATTCACCAGCTACTCCTTGGAAACCCTGTGGGGAAGTTCTATTCTTCTACTCTGTCCTATAGGATCACTATGAGTCGGAATCAACTAGACAGCAACGGGTTTGGTTTTTTGGGTTATCTCTTAATAGATCGCCAGGTCTTTTCTCCCATGGAGTGGCTGCTGGATTCTAACCACTGACATTTTGGTTAGTAGCCAAGCGCTTAACCATTGTGCCGCCAGGGCTTAGTTGTACTCATTTATCAGGGGAGGAAACTGAGGCACAGAAGAGATAAGTTACCATGCCAAAGTTATGAAAATAGTAAGTGGTGGAGCAAGGATTTGAACTCACGCATTTCAACTCAGGACATGCTGTTCTGAATTTCCGCAATAGATTATCTGATACTTTTGAGCCTTAGTTTCCTCATCTGTAAAATGAGGATAGCATCTTTGTTGTGAAGTTGATCAGGGATTCAAATTACATACCACCAATTACCTGTTGCTGTATAGTCGATCCCGACTCTTGGTGACTCTACAGGTTTCAGAGTAGAACTCTGCTGCATAGGTTTTCAGTGACTGGGATCTTTCAGAATTAGATCACCAGAACTGTGTCCCAAGGTGCCTCTAGGTAGATTTGAACTGCCAACCTTCAGTTAGTAGCTGAGTGTTTAACCATATTTACAGACAGTATATTATGATAGAAATGGCATGAGTTGTGGAATCAGTTAGTTTTGGCTCTAGGCTTCCCCACTTGCTAACTATAAGAGCAGTATAAATAAAATGTATTCTCATTGGATTAAGATTTAGTGAGGTCCTACTTGGGGAGGTGATCCTTATGGAGGCTTCTTGGGTCAAAGATATATGTAGTTTGACCAGCAGTGTTTAAAAATTTGAATTAATTCCCAATATTAAAAAGTATAAACTTGGCATGAAAATAAAGATTTCTGGATCCGTAAACAGTGAACTGCAGTCCCATATGGCAATCATTCATTGGAGCTGAGTAGTTAGTGTCTGTTGCCTTTAGACTGAGTTCATTCTCCCCAGTTCGTTCCAGGCCACAGCATTATCTAGTATTTTACACCTAGCTCAGTTCATTTTGATTATATGCCTGGACTCTATAGACAAGTGAGTAAAAGTTGAGCTTGCAGTTGAATCTGGTTGGTACAAGAAAGCTTAGAAGAAACAGTTTATAAACAACATGACAGTGGTTTGATTTAAAAAACAAACTTATTTTTATTCAGCTAAACACAAGTACAGCAAAGTGACAAATTGTAATTATACAATTCAATGAGTTATTAAAAGTTGAATATAACCGTTTACTGAACCCGGTCCAAGAAATAGAACATTATCAACAGTGATTGACTTTTTGATGTCATTGTTCTTAAATGTGTAGATACAGACATACTTTCATTTTCTCCCATTCAGGCATTCAGTATTCAGTTGACTGCTCTAGAATGCAAGGAGTTTGTTATGTCAAATAATAATAATAATAAAGAAATACGTAAGTAAATAAAATAAATGTGCTTAAATCATTATCCTTTAGGGAAAGTATGCAATAATCTCCTTCAGTATTGAAGTCCAGGATTGATAGGACTCAGATTCTTAATTACAATACAAGTTCTACAATTTAAAGATAATTTCAGCTTATTCCTATTAGGAAAAACTTTGGGCATCCTTTGAAAGAAAAGTGCTGAGAATAATGTTTAGAGGAAATAAAAAGTTTTTACCAAATATTTTAAGAAGGTAAGTACAAGTTAATTATAAACAAAATTCCCAGAAAATATATTCAAGTTTCTGAATAATTATGATTGTACTTTTTATTGATGGAATAATTATAATTATACTTTTAACATGTAATAACAACTTGATATCCAAGCAATCTGAGTATGTTTTCATGGAATGGACATTAAATAATTTCACCAAGTATTCTGCCTAGTAGAGGGTTTACTTTAAAAAGTGGGTCTACTTTTTAAAATCAGTTATGTAAAATTAATTTCTTCTATCTCTGTTATATGCTAAAATGTAGGAAAAACACCAACTAAAGGAATCAACAATAATACGAGTTAATTTAGGAATACCCAAAGTCTCAGTCCAGAAGCTATAACTACTTAAACAAAAAACTAAGTAATTTAAGCAGTCTACTTCAGCTTTGTGTAGTAGAAACATTGGTTTATAACCAGGAACTCAGGTTGGAATGACTAAAATTGTACTAAAATATTATTTTGGTAGACTTTTATAGAGCTGTAGCCAAAATCAATAGAGATTTGCCAAATGTATGTGTAATGTTGGATGGATGAAGACTAGTACATGAGATATATATTGAATTACTTAGTTACTAAAAATTCTCCTTACCAGTAAGCAGTATTTGTCTCAAATGTAGAGGATAGTGTTTTCTTGATGCTAGATAGTGAGAGACAAGAGCAGTGAGAATAATGCCATCTTTATAAAAAACAAACATAAGGAATTTCATTTATAAAAACTGTATCTTCCAGTATATGATGAAGAAATTAAAAAATTTTTTTTCATATGCTCATAGCCTCTGAAATAGGGAAAGTTTTCATAGAGGTTAGATAATTATATCTATAGATCCCATTTGGCACAAAAAATCAAGAGCACTTTTACGTAGAGATATGATTAAAAGTCAGCTACTTAAATAAAACTTAAATTCATAATTTTTTTTCTTTTTTGGGGAGGGATATTTCTTTCTTTTTTTTTTGCTTAAATTATATAGTGGAAATATCTTCTAGAACCTAATAACAAACTATAACTTCTGCCAATATATTTCCTAATTTTGTCAGAAATTGAATCATATAATTCTGCAACCCACAATTTTAGAATGGCAGAATGGTTTCATTTATACTTGTCAATGTATAATATAATATAATATAATATATATAATACAATACCTTTATAACCACATATGAAATGTTCCTAAACTGATTTGGGATGAGTGTATTTATGTTTATTGATTTGAATTTGATTCCTAAAAATTCCCAAAGCAACTCCACATGTGGCTGAAAAATCAATACTGGGCCACCAAGTAAAAAAAAAAAAACATTCTTGGTGGTGAGAGTATGAGGCATTGAAGAGAACAAAAATTTTCTCTTTCACTCCTGCAAAGGAATCTTAAAAAATGTCAGAAAAAAAATGCCTTGAATTTTTCCTTTAGAAAGTTAGCAATTAAAAAAAACTTATATATAATTGTATGTTGTTGCTGTTAGTTGCCATTGAGTCAATTCCAACTCATGGTGACCCATGTATTCAGAGTAGAACTGCTCCATAGGGTTTTCAAGGCTGTGACCTTTCCAGATCGCCAGGTCTATCTCTGAAGCATCTCTGTGTGGGTTTGAACTACCAACCTTTTAGTTAGTAATCTAGTGCTTAACCATTTGTGCCACCCAGGGACTCCTATGTAATTATATACAAAGCGTAAATTAGAATGTACAGCAAGAATGAGGAAATAAATGATTTATACCAACTTTTTTGCTTTCTTTCTTAAAGTTATTTTTCTTTCTAAATAATAGTGCAGTTATTTTCCTTGCAGTCAAAAATTTTGACAAGGGCATTTTTTTTTGTTGGTAGAGCTGAATTAATATATACTTATGAAATACAAATGTGATCTTCATTAATTTACTATGATAGATAAAGCTTTATTTTTATGAATAAAAATACTAACTGCTGAGCTTTTGGTTAACAGCCGTAGCACTTAACCACAGTGCCACCAGGGCTCCAAAAATAGCTTAGAGTATGATTAATGATTTTTATAGGGTTTGTTGAATGTGTATGTATATATGCATGCATTCACTGTAGTCTATATATTTTATATGATCTTCATGAAAAACAAATTATTAAAGAGATTTTACTTTGATTCCAAGTAATAATTTGTCACTAATATATTAATTGTTATTATAGTGTCCAGTGGAGACACAAGTACAAGTTTCCAGTGGAGTTGTGCAGACACACTTAATTCATCCAACAATGATGTGTGTTGTACCCAGTGTGTGAAAACACGCATGGAGTATTGCTAACCAAGGAAGCTCATATGAGCCTTGGTATTGAGAGTTTTAATTGGGGGTCAGTCACATAGGCATGATTGATCACCTGTGTGACTGACCTTCAGTCTTCAGATCTTCCAGAGGTCAAGCTAATACCATGTGGAC